TAATCCCAACTGATTTACAATTGGGCCCTTTGGAAGCCAAAAGTCCAGCCAAAGCTTTGTGTCCTTTCCGCAGCCAACCTTAAAATAAATGATACTTCTAGCCATTTCTCTGAGCTTCAACAGGTTCCTCCAAAAACCAGAACTGAGTGAGGTTGCCTTTAGGTACCAGAAACTCTTCTCCTTAATAAGATAGTCATAGGACCAAGCAACCCAAAGACTTTCATTCGTTAGACATAATTTCCAAATATGCTTAAGGCATGCAATTTTGTTAGAGAGCTCGAGGTCAGGAAATCCCAATCCCCCATAAATTTTAGGTCTGCATACTGCATTCCAGGCAACCTTAGCTCCACTTTTCTTCATCTCAACCCCAGACCAGCGGAAGCTCCTAAGAATCCTGTTAATTTCATCAAAGACCTTCCTAGGTAACACAAAAGCTTGAGACCAGTAAGCTTAGATAGAACACAGCACTGATTTAATGAGGACTGCCCTTCCAGCATAAGAGAGAAACTTAGATGTCCAAGAGCCAATTCTTTTAGTGATTCTTCCCACAAGTGTTTGACAATCCCTTGCCTTAATTGTTGTAGCAGAGAGGGGCATTCCCAAGTATGTTACTGGTAAAGTACCAGCATCAAATTGCAAGAGTGATAAAATAGAGAATTTTGCGTGAGAATCCACCCTTGAAAAGAAAATTTTGCTTTTAGCAGGGTTAAGTTGTAAACCAGAAAAAGAACAAAACAGGTTAAGAGCATTCACCAAACTTTGCACTGAATCAGAATTTGCATAAGAAAACATCAACAAGTCATCTGCAAATGAGAGATGAGTGATACTCAATTTTCTACACCTCCAATGATACTTGAAGCTAGGATTTTGCCTGACTTGGTGGTTAATTATGAGAGTGAGAACCTCCATTGCAAGGACAAAAAGCAATGGAGAGATGGGATACCCTTGTCTAATGCCCCTCCTACCCTTAAAAAATCCAAACAGTTCACCATTGAGGGAGATGGAATAGGCTGGGGTGGTGATGCACTGAGATATCCAATGAATAAATGTTGATGGAAAACCAAAGGATGTAAGAAGTCAAGAAAAAACTGCCAATGAATTGAATCGAAAGCTTTCATGAGGTTAATTTTTAGAGCACAATTAGGGGGATGGTTAACCTTATTGTAACCATTCAATAATTCATGGGCTAGAATAATATTGATATGTCTCCCTTTAATAAAAGCATTCTAGTTTGGGCTGATTAGGTATGGAAGTAAAGGTGCAAGCTTGTTAGCCAACAGCTTTGAGATGGTTTTGTAAATAAGGTTGCAGCATGAGATTGGTCTAAAATCATTAACTGTTAAGGGATTAGGGATCTTTAGTACTAGGGCAATGTAAGAACAATTGATCTCAGTGAGCATTTTGCCAGTGAGGAAAAAGTATTTAACAACTGAAATGACATCCTGACCAATGATATGCCATGTGTGTCTGAAGAAGGCTGAGTTATATCCATCAGGACCTGGGCTTTTGAATGGGTGAAATGAAAGTATGCAATTTTGAATCTCAAGGCCAGTAGGTATAGAGGTGAGGGTAGGAAGGACATGACTAGGAATAGTTTTAGTAATGAGATGGGAAAAAGATGCCATACCTTGATAATGTGTATAATCCTGCCCAAGAATAGTGGTGAAATGGTTGAGAATTTCATTCTTCATATCCTCCCCAAACAGTTGAGAGCCATACGAGTTAAAAATTGATTGGACTTTCCTTCTGTTAGCCTTTGAACCAAAACTCCTCATGAAGAAAGCAGTGTTCTGGTCCCCCTCCTTGAGCCAGTGCACTTGGGCTTTCTGTTTGTAGAATAATTCTCCTGCAAGTGAGAGCTCAGTGAACTTGGAAGACAGCTCATTTTCATTCAATCTAAGTGAGTCATCATTAGGGTTGAGGTCCAAGCTTCTTTGACAAAGTGAAAGCTCCTCTCTGCAGGCTGTAACTCTAGCTGAGATATCACTAAAGGATGCTTTATTTAGCAACTTAAGAGGTTGCTTTAGTGATCTCAGTTTCTATACAAGTATGAACATTCTAGAACCATGGATCACTCTCTGTAATTCCTGAGAAACAATGTTCAAAAATGAGGGATCTAGAGTCCAAAAGTTAAAGAACCTAAATGGGATGTTTCTTTTAGGAGTAAGTTCTCCAAACCTTACCACCATTGGGGAGTGGTTAGAGATACCCTGTGGGAGGAACTCACATTCAGCTTGTGGGAAAAGGGAAATAAAATTGAAATTAACCAGGACTCTGTCCAGCTTTCTTGTGATATTGGCACATCCATAACTTCCATTTGACCAAGTGTGAAAAACCCCAGTGAACCTCATGTCTTCCAGACCATTTCTATCCAAGCACTCCTTGAAATCTTGCATTCCTGTTGTCCATCTAAGAGCTCCTCCAAAAAAGTCATTCACATAGAGCAAAACATTAAAGTCACCCATCAAAATCCATGGCTCACATGAAAGGCTAAAAGAATTTAGTGTTCTCCATAGGGATTTCCTATCTATTGTGGTATTAGCAGCATAAATAAATGAAGCCAGTACCTTCTTTTTTAGATTAATAAGCTCAATTTCACAGTTAATTACCTGACCATGCTCCACTGCTCTGAGCATTGAAACTTTCTGAGGATCCCATAGAACCCAAACCCTTCCTAAAACTGAGGATAGGTAATTGCATTTGATTTGCCACTGTGGGGCAATGAAGTGATGAATAGACTGCATATTGTCACTACAAACTTTGGTTTCCAAGATTGCTATAAGACTTAGCTTTGATTCTCTAATAAGACACCTAACCTCTATTTGCTTGAGGGTAGAGTTAAGCCCTCTAATGTTCCATGCAGCCCAATTCATTTGGAGGAGGATGAGAGGTTACAAAGACCCCTAAACCCTTTCAAGGAAACACTGCTAACCACTGGTTTGGTGACTTTAGGCTTTTTGCAAGTTTTGAATGTTTTGCATGAGTTGGTTTTCTAGGCTTCAACAATTTATCCATAATAGGGATATCCTCAGTGTCTTGATGATTCTATGAAGAGATTTCATTAGATGAGGAAGCTGGGTCTTCTGAGTAATCTTGGACCCCATTGTTATCATCATGAGAAAGAGCAGCAAATGAATTAGTGATCTTGACCTCTGAAGAATGAGCAATTACAGGACTGTGAGATTTTGGATTATGAGGTGAGAGGTCAATGACTAAATTGATAGCTTTTGTCATTCCTTTCTGAGGTGAAGGTGGGTGATTTATATTCTGCTCAAAAGAGCTCTGATGACTATTAGTAAAATGAAACTTGGGATTTGCTTCAACTGACAATGGTGGGTTGAGGGTTGGTTCTAAAACCAATTGAGGCATGATAGTTGTGTTCATTGTTCTCTGGGGGTTGGGGTTAGGAAGAACAGCTTGTGAAGGTAATGCTTTAGAGACATCCACCTTGATAGGGACTGTACTTTCAATATGTGGATCAAGAACATGTTGAGTGGAGTTTGAAGGCGATACCATAAATTGGAGGTTGGAAGTTGATGCATCCAGTTGTGCATTGCAGTCAGAGTTGGGGAAGGGGTTAGGGATTGGCTTACAGTAGCTTTTACCTCTCCTCTTGGTGACAATTTGCCATTCTTGTGAGATGGGGGGAACAGTGTTACTCTGAACATTAATGTGCTGAGAGACAACAATTCCACTACATTGATCATTGGAATGTCCAAAGGAGGAACACATAGAAGAAATTGGAGGAATCCATGGATATTGGACTTTCACAGTGGCAGTATCACCGCATTTTAGGGTTATAGGAAAGGATTTAGGAAGTGTAGAATGAGGATATATTTCAACACATACTCTAGCATAGTCGATTCTACTCTTTTCTTGAGTGGTGGAGTCAGCTAGAATAGGTTTCCCTACTGCACTGGCTATATAACTAAGTCCCTTAGAGGACCAAAGCTCAAAAGGAACATTAAAAAGCTTAATCCAGAGTGTAAAAGATTTCACAGCATCAAAGTGAGGTTGTGCAGAGGGATCATGATTCCAAAGTCTGAGAGATACAACTTTACTAGTAAGAAAGCACTGCTCTCTAGAAAGTATTGAAATGCAACTATCAATGGAGTCAAATTTGAAGTAGAAAATACCTTCAGAGTTGGCAACTACATTCCTTAGGCCTCTTGAGTCCCAAAGCTTGTGTGCTTGTTCTGAGATAATTTTGTACGGCATTCTTCTCTTGAATGTTCCCACCAAGCAAGATTCCCAATACTTTATGCCACTGTTTCTAATCTCCTCTGGTGGATCCACAAGAATCGAGTCATTTCTGGTCAAAGGTTTGAAATAATGAAGCTCCCAATTAAAGGGTTGAGATTTTGCCACTGATGACCAGCTTTTTGAGGTCTATTCATTTCTCTGTTCTGATGTAGCCTCGGGATGAAGTGGCTCAACAATAGGATAGTTAGATTGTAATTGGTTTGGTAAAGAGGTTGGTAAAGCAGTTGGTTGACAGGTCAGTTGGTTCTCTTGAGAACTGTGAACATGTTCTGAAAAGTGGGGAGTGGGTTGAGCCGAAAAACCTGGAAAAGGCATTGTCACATCACAATTCAAATTCAAATTTGGATCAGCATTGTTGAATCCGACTGCCGGTGGCGCATCAGTGATACTTGCCGGAACCGCTTGTATTCTACTAACAAGATCTCCATTGGCAGGAGCAATCTCTTTGATTCTTTGAAGTGCATCTTGTAACTCTTCATCCTTAGCCTTGAGGAGCCTTTTGAGTCGATTAATCTCTTTCAGTAGCTCGAATTTAGATGCATCCATAATGGTTGCATCTGCTGATTGCTGCGATGGGGGTATGATATCTTCTGGTTGCTGCAGTGGAGAGATGGGTTTAGGAGGAGCCTTTTTGCACTGAGCAAGTTCCTCACTAAGCTGTAAGATGGTTTTGTTCCTCTCCTTTATCATCTCTAGAGCCTTCCCCAAGTTTTCATCTTTCCATTCCAGCTGCTCAGTTAGTCTTTCAATTTGATGCTCTGGGGAATCATACAGTCTTGGGTTGAAATTTTTTGGTAGCTGCTTAGGTGTGGTCTGGCTTGTAAAGGCGGTTTGTTGGTAGCTTTCCGATGCTGTTGCGGTTTGATGGTAGGTTTAGATGGGGTGGATGCACCAGAATTGGGGACGTTTATGGTTGTAAATGATGGTCTAAGTGGTTTAAAGGTTGGTGGGGGAAAGTGAGCTGGAGATTCTCCTTTGAGAGATGGTGGAATTAGAGGCTCAAAAACCTCGATTTGTTGTGGAGCGAGTTGTGATTTGGGTGGATTGATAGTGTGAGAAGGAGTACTTGCAGTAGTAAATGTGTGTTTTCCATTGGGTGAGGACTTATGGGAATTAATGGTGATCTGGTTTGATGGGTTATAGAGGATTTTACTTCTATTTGGTTCACGGTTGATGTGGTTAGATGGGATGAATGGTGGTTTCAAATGGTTAGGAATGAGATTACTCCGGGAGGGCTTCAGGAATGGAATGAGAGAAGGTTTCAGAGGAGGTCTCATGGCTCTAATTTAGAAAAAAAAAGAAAAAGAAACTAACCAGTACATTCCTTGCTAAAGCCTTCACACCGTTTAAAAGAGAAGTGGAAATTTACACATTTACATAAGTACTTAATAAAGCTTGACATGCCTCATGTTAACTGAATTAGAGGAGCTTCTTAGTCACCATTGACATGGTTTACATCAACTTGAATTTGAGGTGCTTCTACGTCTCCATTGGCATGGTTTACGTCAACTGTACCATGAGGTATTAAGAAGTAAATTGCTACCAAAGCTGTCATTGGAGAGATCAGTAGAATGCAATAAACAATGATTCCAACAACTATTCCAAATTGAATATGGATTTTTTCTTTGACATTTTCTGGGGTAATTGCGGCAACAGAAACAGCCACAATTACCAGAACTGATATAATTGTCAAGCACATGACCCCAATCAAAGCCCCTATCAGAACCCCGGAAAGAAAGTAGTTCCTAGACCTCAATGCAGTCATGAGCAAAAAGATTGTGGACAGAGATGCAATGAAACCAATTAGGTTTGCAATATAAAATGTTGCGTATGCATCAGGATGGTTATAAGTCATTACAGCATCTCCTGCCTTGTGTGGGCTACCTGAGTAATTTGCCGATGAGTCGTCTTGCCAAACACCACCTGGAGGGTTCATAGCAGCTTGGAAAGTGAGTGTCGCGATTAGCATTGCCACCAACAATATCACATTCCGTTTCTCTGCCAGCCTCTCTCTTAGAGTACGAGCATGGTGAAAATTGTTACTCAGTGGCGTACTGTGATCAAGTCTGTGCTCTACAGTTGCTTCATGATCGTGCTCCATTCTCTCTCTCTCTCTCTCTCACACACACACTCTCACTGTGTTATATATATAAGTGTCGGCTGCGCTATATATACAAGTGCCACTCTTGATACATACTATGTTTCTCGGTTGACTTAATTATATCTTGTAATTTTCCATGCCTTGCGGAAAATATAAAATTATATCTTGTACTCACTGATCCAATTTACTCTCAGTAAGTAAAAATTTTTTTTAACATATACTCCCTCCATGTAGGACGGAGGCACGATTTTCCATGACATTTTTTGTGGGACGGAAGGAGTATATGCATAAAGCTTGTTTGGAAGAGAAGGAAGGGATTGATTTGAAAGGAATTGTTAGATGTTTTCAAGGAACTCATGACAGTTCATGACAGCTAGAAGTGATTTGAAGCACGGGAAATGTAATGTTAATGAATATATATATATATATATATAATTATTAAAAAAATATATTTTACCACTGTGACATCCGCCACCACTTAGCCTTATGAGGGTCATTAGCATACCCTTGTTTCTTCCTCTTTACTACGTCTCTCTCTCCTTTCAGCCACGATTTTTTTTTTTCTTTTACAACTTCTATCTTTGATTACTTTTCAATCACTTGAAGTTTTTAGGTACCATATATGATAAATCGGAGAGCACGATGAGATCTACGCATGAGTGTAAATAATTCTTTGTTTGTCCAACTCTAGAAATTTCAAAATTTTGAACCTATTTAGGGGGTTTTTGTATCTTTGGAAGTAAGGGTTTCTAATTTACATTTTCTTGGGCCTTTTGTGAATTATTCTCCATAAATTGTGAATTAACATGCTTGATTTGTAGAAATTTCATACTTTATTATATATATATATTGTGCCAAAATTGTTATTTTGTGTTGCTTGATATATATGATGATGAAGCATGTAAATTGTTGATTAATTCAAATCCTTTGTGCCTTTAGTGCTAGTTTGGTGATTAGAAAGTATGAAATATAATTTTAGAAATTTTTATGTTGTAAAGCATGTCTAAGTTTTAAATTTCTATGCCTATGGTGTTTTTTAACTTGTTGGAAATTACTACAAGAAAGCATGTTAATTTGTGTAGTATAAATTCTTTATTTTCATAATATTGGCAAAGCATGTGATATTCATGCATAGCATTGGGCATGAAAATGGGCAAAATGATTTGAAGTGAATGTAAAAGAGATTTTGGGATAATGTTTTGATTAAAGAATATTTTTTTTTTGAAAAACTCGATCGCCGAGGAGTTACCGAAGGACCGTGATGTTAATATAACCTCGAGAGAATTAGGAAAATCACCCTAGTATGGTTGAGCTATTTGGACCCTAAATGACGCCACGGGGTTACCAATGGTCAGGGATAGTAAACAATCCTTCTCTCGTATCGCTGAGGAGTCACCGAGGAACGAGTTATGTTAACGGTTTGACAAGTGAAGAATGGAAGTGATTTTGAAATTTTTTTTTGAAAAACCCGATCGCCGAGGAGTTACCGAAAGACTGTGGCGTTAATATAACCTAGAGAGAATTAGGAAAATCACCCTAGTGTGGTTGAGCTATTTGGGCCCTAAATGACGTCATGGGGTTATCAATGGTCAGGGATAATAACCAATTCTTCTCTCGTATCGCTAAGGAGTCAACAAGGGACGAGTTATGTTAACGGTTTGACAAGTGAAAAATGGAAGTGATTTTGAAAATGGGGAGCGACATAGCATGGCATAGCATTCCATAGCATCACATTGCCCATTTTGGCCTTGTAATTTGTTGTATTTTCTCTTGACATAGCATGATCTTGTTTTCTATATTTTTATTCATTGTTTGGATTCACGGGGTCATAAGAGGTGTGTCTTAGGCACCACCTACTGAGCTTTATGCTCACCCTATTATTTAACTTTTTTCTGGACAAGGGAAAGAAGTGACGGATAACGTTCTACTACAGGCATAATTTGGATTAGAGGATCATTTTGTTATTTTTGTATCTAAGTCCCATCATTTTTTTTGTAAAACCTTAGTTCGTTATATTCAGTATAGAGACTTATGAACTTTTGTTATTGTAATTTTGCTTCATGGACTGTAAGTTGATGTAATTGGAGTAAATTTCTAGTATGTGAGCATGGGACTATGTATAAGACAGGTACCCCTTTGTTCTGGATAAATGGGATGATGATGATGGATTATCTTGAGGAAGTTGTTGATGTTGTTGTTTTGGGAATATTTTATATTATTTGCATTGTGTGTTGGGACATGTTAGATCAGTTTTGAAGGTCCAAGAGAGGCTATTTTTTTTTATGCATTTCAAGAGGTTGTTGTAGAACCTTTTTTCAGCAAAGGTAATGCTGATTTTTTTTTTTTTTTTTAATTGGTATCATTTTAGTGTCATTACAGGAAACTTCCCAGAAAGGTCATAGTCCAATAGAATAAGTGGGATACTTGGGAAACATCATAATACGTTGAAGAGGTATTGAAACTCTCCTTGAAGTCCTCTTCCAGTTGTATATAAAATTCTGAAAATGTGTTTATAATAATGTTAGTAACTTCATGAATTATAATTCCTTGAAGTTTACCTAGAAGTTCCTTTTAAAAATTTCAAAAGTCAGTCTTCACCTAGCATTCCTTGAAGTTTCCTTGATTAAGAAGTGTGAAACAACTCATCCAAATTGTTGAGACATGTCGAACCATCTTTTGTTTTGGATCTGGTTCCTTCATTACCTATGCCCGGCCTGCTAGATGTGGCCGTGGACTCATACTTTGGGTCTCGTCACTCTCATCTCACCTTGGGAGATCGATATTCGAGGGACCTAATTAGTTATGGAACATTCCATTCCTATATTTATTTTTCATTCTCATTTCATTCAATTGCAGTATACTTAAAGTAGCCTTGGGCCCTTAGTGACCCGAAAAATAAAAAAAAATATCAGAAACATTTCAAGGAGATTTTAATGCTAATTAATGTTTGGAATCATCCTTAAATCAAATTCAAACAGCTCCGCCGCCCTGTGCCAGGAATCCAACGACTGATATTATGTGTCATGGAGATATCAGATCAAAAAGTGGAGCTTCTCCAGTCAGAATTCCTTGATATTCATGAACGTACATCCCAGTTACTTCTCTGCTCTAATACAGAACTTCCAGTAATTAACAATTTTTTTAACATATATAATATGATCCTAGGAAGTCTGAAGACATATATGTTAATTAATATGATTGTGAGTTGTGCAATGGAATAAATTGTGAAAATTTTGACTTTTTATTGAGAGGGAATTTAGTCACCTGTTTCTCAATTCAATTAATTTTACTAAAATTATTGATTAATTAAACAATCACATGCAAAATAAAAGTAAATAAAGTTTAGAGTGACACAAAATTTTAGCGAGGAAACTAATTGAAAAACCTCAAGATTTGCGCTATCCCAAGCGTAAAAAAATTCATTATGTATGAAGCAAAGTACACCGAACTTTGACTCAGACTCAAACCCCTTCACTCTACCAAGACTCAATCTGCTGAACGTCCCATACTTTGCAACTTCCCTTCCAACAACTCTCAGCTTCAGACTTATGCTTCGAACCTTATAGAAGGATCGTTGGTAAATTAACAACATTCCGCAAGTGCTTTGATCCCTTTAAAGTATAATCTGAAATTTTCTCATATAAATCTGAATTTAATGTAGAAGAAATAAGATTTAATTTCTCTGATCGTTGTAGATGCAATCCTCAATAGACGATCAAGATTTGAACAACACCCTAAATTCACTCGTGTGTATATATTGTGTATGCTCTTAAAATCTCATAAAAATGCTTTTAATGGAAATCAAAATTTTAATGCAAAAAGCCACACAAACTTAATTAGATGAGAAGATATGTTTATATAGACTTTCAAAACCCTAGTTATACTTTAAAAATAAGTTAATTTCGTGCTTATGTTTATTGAAAGAAGTCTATACAAAATAAGAAGTTAAAACAGAGTAGGAAAGAAATTACCTAAATCTGCAAAAACACTTGAACCAGTTCAGGGACCTTGAATCGATTCAAGTTAGCCAGTAATGTTTTTTGCGAAGCTTGACATCTTGAACCGGTTCAGCTACCTTGAACCGATGGCCAGACCCTAACTTGAAGGCTTAAATACTTAGAAAATTTTTGACAATGTGTATTTTAAAAAACATACGATGTATGCAAGTGTCCTAAT